TATTTAAAAATGAAACCCAATCGGTAAGTGCTTTCTGTTCAACCGCTCGACATCCATTGAAGTTCTAAAATCTACATAATAAAGCATAAACTTACTCTCTGTGCCACTCATACATGGCCTCGATGTTTCCAAAGACCATCTTGTCCTTGCCGCCCTTGAGATCATCCGGCAAGGGAATGTCCGTGCCGGGATCCCTCATGAGGGCCATGTAGCCCTCGACGATTTGTCGTAAGTCATTAACGTAGTCGCGCTCCGTCTCGACGAGCTCCCTAATGACGAACTGGCGCTTGGCGAGAGCCGTAGTCTCCGGGTCTTCGCTGCCCATAGTCGGCGGCTCCTCGCTGTCGATCGAGGCATTGGTGGTCGGTAGGGAGGCGGTGATGGACGGCAGATCCGCGGACGTTATCGATGCGCCCGTCGCTGTCATCGTCATCGCTGGGCCACTCGATTTCACCGGGGTTCGGGCCTGCGTCCCGACCGTGCCCCCGCCGCTGTTGCGCTCGCGATTCTCCGTGTGCTGCTCCTGAAGGTGTGTCGGACACGTCGTTACTGTTATCTTGCTCCGAGTAATGTAGATTCGCGAACGACTTTATTCCCATCAATATTAATAGCTTATAATACATCTCTCGATATTTTCCCGCGATATTTTTCTCTCTCGATATTTCGATATCTCACCGCGAGTGATTGAATATTGTCGCGGTGCCTAATTTAAACGGCCGTCATAGAATTATGACATTTAAATACTTCGTTGACCTGCTAAAGGTCTTAAATTAAGGTCCTATTAAGATCATCCCAAGTTACGATTATCCTTTTCGACAACTTCATTGTTCAATAATGAAAATGGCTCAACCAAGTAATTATTTATCAACGAATGCATACCGAGTCAGGAACGATGCAGCCTGACATTTATTTTAACATATTACCTCTTCGCAGCACATAGTTCAATAGTTCTTTTATTTTACTTTATATTTTTTCTTATCATAATTCTTATCTGGCACAGCGCGTTTCTCGCATTGTTCCGTATAATGGAGAGAGAAAAAAAATTAAACTAAAGTCAAGTTTGAAATTAAAATATAATACCGCAGGATCATCATAGCTGCATCGATAAAACTTTCTAAATTTTTAACGCGTTGAGAAGAGATAAGGAAGCTTAAAGTGGAAGTTGAATTTTATTTAAACCGTTGCCTTTTCACTTTTAGATGTGTTTAAAAACTTAGCGAAAACATTACCTCTTGCAATTTTAAATTATAAGTACACAATTGCTATCTATTATTACTAAAAGAGTATCTTAAATATTGACGGCTAGTGATTAACGTTTTAAAATATATCTCGAAATAAAAGTAAAAATAGAAAGAAAAAAAAAAATGTTTTTATGCACTTGTTAAAAATACCACATTAAAGAATAATAGATGAATCATATGGATTATCACGATATAAATATATAATTTATAATTTATCGACTTGTAATTTTCAAGCCATTAGTGTCTTATGTTAACGATCCGTTTACATTTCTCAGATTCAATCAATAATCAGCTATGTGTAATTTAAAATTGATAGAAAATTCAATTTTCAAAATGTACAATTAATTCCCCTACAACCTTCTCGCGACGGAAAAGCTCTAAAATCGTTGCTAAATATCGAAGGAGATTTAATATGAAGAATAAACCACTGTATCCCCAAAAAAGCTCCTTCCAATCGCTCAGATTGAACAGAAACTAGTCGTATGAAAAGGTTAAAACGTAGCGCTTTTTCAAAGACGCTTACATAAATACTTGAGTGACGCGCCGGACAATTCGATCATTATGCACTTTCTCCCACGTACGCCTACAATAAACAACGCAAGTAAAACAAAATGCCTTTTCGTCCATACTGCATCCCTCCACCTCCCATCCCCCATCGGCCCATCCGCCGGTCAATGCGACTGCGAACTACGAGAGAGCGAGGCAGTCGGCCAGGGGCAACAAATGACAATGAACCGGCAGTAAATACGTGGGACCTGCTTCACGGCGCGACACTCGTCGTTATTCTAAAATTGGACGGTAAACCTGGCATTTTGACAAGCCGGCCTCGTGGAAGAAGCACATGTCCGACGACGGGTCACTCTCGTGATTACTTCCGAGTCAGCAGGGCTTGCTCGACTTACCATTCGCTCCTTCACTATCTGCTCGATCTCGGCGAGGTCGGCGTTCGTGTCCCCGTCGAGCGACTTGATCGAGCACTCGGTCACCTGGGGATGACAAAACGGAGGAGCGGATTAGCCAAGATCTTACAGCACGCTCGGTGTGTGGCGACTGTCGTTACGATTCGGTTTCGCACTAGCGAGGCGTCGCTTATCGACGCGCGGCTTATCGCTCGCTACGTGACGACGAGTCACCTCGAGTCGTTACTTATTTCTTTTCTTTTTTTCTTGTTCCGGGCGATCGTTTAACGCCCGATCTCCTTCAGCGTTCTCGCGTTCCTCGAGGGCGAGCGTGTGTTACCGTTATCAGAGCAGGTGGTCAGGCGCGAAGGACTCGGTTACGTCGATAGCGGCCACCCCGAGTTAGCTTCTTACGATCAGCCGATTGCGATACGATGGGCTTGGTCGCTCGTTACGACTCTCTGCCTTTTCCGCGTGAAAATCGTGAATGAAGGTCGGTCATTGGGAGCGATTTAGGCGATTAGTGAGCATTTCGACAAACAATTACATTAAAATACAAACGACTATTCGACAACTCGACCATTCGAATAATTCGAAATTTTCCGCGACTCTAAGTTTACCGTTAAAAAACAACAAAACAAAACAAAAAATAGAAAAAAATAAAATAACAAATTTACAAGTTAAGAGAAATTGTGTAAGCTTTGAGAATAGTACTATTAAAATGAGATTAAAAAAAAAAATAATAATAATAAATAATAATAATAAACTTTACGAATAGCTAAAAATGCTTTAGTGTGGTTTTTAGAGGAGCGCTTTAGCGCAAATCGAGCCTATTTTGAAACTCAAAGTCTCGAGCGCAAGGAAATATTAATCTGTGTTCATGGTGAATTAAAAATATTACAATGGACACTAAAAATTCGAATCGCTCGAGCTTCGAACGCTCGCTTCATCCGGTACATTAAAGTAAGTGTACGTGTTACTCGGGCATTGAAAACGACTTTTCGCGCCGATATTCGTTTAATTGGCCATATTCTTATTGCGCGATACATGCGCAACGTATAATTATTTATAACGATATTCTTCAATTAGATAATGTTGGATTTGGTTGGATTAGTGGGCCCTGGCTATAAACCGAAGCACCCGTGATTCGATCTCCGTTGGAATTCCGCGGAATTGGAAGTGGGAGGGGTTTTTTGTTTTAGGGGTGGAGATGGTGGTTTAAGGGGGGTTTTTAAGCGAGGTAGCGATGGTAAATAGGTGCGATGACACTCACCAGCTTCCCGGGCAGCTCATCGCTATTGGCGGAAGTCGCGGCCGCGGCTGTGCCCGCGACTAGTATCGGCTCGGTGATGGGTTTCATGGGCGGCGGCAGCTCTAGCTGCTCGTCCTCGGCGTCCTCGGCGCCGTTCTGCTGGCTGAGAGGCCTCGCCTCCTCGGCGTCCTCGGGGCCGGTGCCGGTGATCTCCTCCTCAGCGCTGCCCTGGCGCGATGTGGCGCCAGCTGGTGCGGCTCTCGAGGCCGAGCCTCCGCTGCTCGATGCCTGGGACTTGTCGCTCGAGCCGGAGCTCGGCAGCTTGAAAAGCTTGTCGAGGCCGCTCTTCTTCGCCGATGTGGGCGGGGGCGGCGGTGGCGGCGGGGGCGGCCGCTCCGAAGACTTGTCGACCTTACTCTGACTGAGCTTGCGCAGCGGCGGCGGCAGCCACTTTCGTCTGCAAGCACGTCTCGTGACTTAGTTGCACC